CTCTCCTTTCTCCAGGACAGTGGCCAAAAGCTAAATTTAGCTGGGGGGGGGAGGGGGGGGGAAGGAAAGTCATTAATCCAGTCAGGTGTTGGGTTTAAATCTGGTCTCTAGAGAAATCCAATCCGCTCACCGCATACTTTCCCCCTGCCTAGATTCCATTCAATTTCATCCTGAGCCATCGGAGAAGAGATTTGAGCCATGGTTAGATCTGGGGGTGGGGGAAACAAGGAAACCTGGAGACCCTCCCTCTGGCTGGCTTCACACCGCCTTGCTAGACCCAATATTCAATTTATTTACTTATTAAATTTATTTGCATGGGTTGCTGTGATGTTTTGAGGCTTCCCAAGAGCATGAAACAAACTCCTGGTCCCGACAAAAACCCCTTTTGTTAATTGTGAATTCTGCTCATTCACATCCAGCAAAGTCTTTCAAAGGAGGATTTACGGTCACAGACCTTATCTGGCTTGGGAGGATTTACAGTCACAGACCTTATCTGGCTTGGAGAGCTGCCAGGCTGATCTCTGCAGAACTTGGCCAGGAGTCTCGGAGGGTCACGAACCAATTAAGTGAACTGATGGTCTCTTGCAAACTCCACTCCCCTTTCCCTCCTCTTTTATTTCCTCTGGGAACCGTCTGGCCCCATCTAAAAAGTGGGGGGGGGAGCTTCCCATGATTGCGTGGATCAGCTGTGAGCTACACGATCCTTGTAATTTTTTTTTGTTAACTACCGGTTCGCAGAACCAAGGAGAATAGTCCGTACCGGTTCGGCCAAATTTGGTTAAAATTTGGGCACTCGCCAATGGGAATACACAAGTAGTCCTCAACGTACGACCACAACGGAGCCCGGAATTTATGTCGCTAAGTAAGTTTTGCCCCCGTTTACGACTTTTCTCCCCCGCAGTTGTTAAGTGAATCACCGCAGCCGTGTAATTGGTAACGCGGTTGTTAAGTGGACCTGGCTTGCTCGTCAGGAGGTCACAAAAAGGGGATTAGATGACCTCAGGACCTCACTGCAACCGTCGTAAGTGTGAGTCAGTTGTCAAGCCTCCGAATGAAAACCAGGTGACGGCGGGGAAGGCTGCAACAGTGTGGGAAAGGGTCCCTTTTTTCAGTTTAACTTCGAACGGTCACTAAGTGAATCATTGTAAGGCGAGGACTGCCTGTAACAGAATGACAGCGTTGGAAGGGACCTTGGAGATCTTCTAGTCCAACCCCTTGCAGAAAGAGGGGACCCCATATACCATTTCAGTCAGGTGGCTGTCTAGTCTCTTTTTAAAAACCTCCAGTGATGGAGCGCACCCACCACTTCTGGTGGCAAGCAGTTCCACTGGTTCATTGTCCTCGTTGTAGGGAATTCCTTCTCAATCCTACATTGGTTCTCCCCTTGATTAGTTTCCATCTGTTGCTTCTCGCCCTGGAAAATGACATTTTCTGTAAGAAGCCACATTGACAGCTGCCTTACAAACCCCCAGAGTTGCTGGGAAAGGAGGCATCTTCAAAGAGATGTGCCCATTGCTCTACCCCGTCCTGGAGAGAGAGAGAGAGATCTGGGCGCTCCCTGGAGCCAAGGTTGAACCCGGGGCCTTCCCTTCCGGGCAGCGCCTTAGGCGGGGGCGTCTCAGAACATGCACAGACTGCCAAACCTAATTACCAAAACCTGCCTCGCCACTGCGGGAGCCACATTCGTCTCTTTGCAAAGGCAGACTCGGCCCGTACGGGGGTGCAAATTTGCGGCGAACCGTGCCCAGTTGGGGCAAGCCGAGTGGCAGCAGGGGGCTGGGTGGGGAAACGCCAGGCCCGCTGCGAGGAAATCGAGCCCCCCCCCACCCCAAAAAAGAGGCTCAAACTCCAACTGGGCTGGAGTTTCTTTCTCGTTGCAAAGTTACTCCATCGTTCCCTTCTTCCTTTTTAGTCCACGCCAAAATTTGCTTCTCGTGACTCAAGCCCCAGCATATTTCTCTTCTCTCTTCCTCCTCCCCGCCTCCTTTTCCGTTTTTTACAGCTCAAATATTTATCCTTTCCCAAACCTTATAAGGAGGAGGAACAGAACCGGGGGTGGAGGGTGGGGGGGAGAAACGGAACACGCCCCCTGGCAGCCACGCTCCCTCTTTCTAGCCTCCTCCACCCGAAAAAAAAACCGCTTTCCAGAAAAACAATAGCCGTTTTTCCGTGGGCTCGGAAACCTTTGCAGATGTCTGGGGTGCCTCCGGGTACTACAATGCCTATCATTCCCAGCCAAGAGGCACAGGGGCCGGCACCGTCTTTGTCCTATGGGGCTGCAAAGACCCCCCCCCCAAGCATCCCCAGCATGGGGAGATGATGGGAGTTGCAATCCAACTTTCTCGAGACGCGTCAGAAGAATGAACCGCTGTGTCTCCAGCCACGGGGTTTGTGGGGGCAACATGGGACACCCCCCAAAAAATGTGGGGTTTGCTCCCCTAGGCTGGATCTTTCATCTTGCACAATCGCTTTTTTACAGTCAAACCTCCAGGTTTGCCTTTGCATGAACTAACCCTGGCTTATCCAAACCACGGTTTACCAAAGCAACCCAATCATCTAGCTTCGTCCAACATAGTGGGTGCCAGAGGTTAACAGCCTCGTCTAGGTTCAGGCGAGCCCCCCCTAAAGCACAGAGAATCAAGAGAATGGTGGGGAATCCTGGAGGTCTTCTAGTCCAACCCTTCTGTTTGAAAAAGTCAGAACATTTCTTAGTTCCAGTTGGAATCTCCCTTTGCAAAGTTTTCACCAATCTGTCTTAATCCCTCAGGCCTTTGGGAGAATAAATCCATACCCCTGGCTGCCTGGGGAATTCTGGGAGTTGAAGTCCACCCATCTTAAAGCAAGCTGGCTGGGGGATTCTGGGAGTTGAAGTCCACCCATCTTAAAGCATGTCAGCTGGGGGATTCTGGGAGTTGAAGTCCACCCATCTTAAAGCCTGCTGGCTGGGGGATTCTGGGAGTGGAAGCCCACACATCTTAAAGCATGTCAGCTGGGGGATTCTGGGAGTTGAAGTCCACCCATCTTAAAGCCTGCTGGCTGGGGGATTCTGGGAGTGGAAGCCCACACATCTTAAAGCCTGCTGGCTGGGGGATTCTGGGAGTGGAAGCCCACACATCTTAAAGCATGCTGGCTGAGGGATTCTGGGAGTTGAAGTCCACCCATCTTAAAGCCTGCTGGCTGGGGGATTCTGGGAGTGGAAGCCCACACATCTTAAAGCCTGCTGGCTGGGGGATTCTGG